CTACTGCGCCAGCCTTTTCTATAATTTTTAGTTTCCAATTAAAATTTCTCAGTTTAGTAAGAGGTGGTTGTCTTACTCTTGCTCAGGCTGGTTTTGAACTCCCTGGTATTGCCAAATTAATTTCTCTCTATTTTTAGTAAGAGAAAGGTCTCAACTCTTGCTCCGGCTGGTTTCAAACCTCTTGACCTTGAGCGTCCACTCGCCTCAGCCTCCAGAGTGCTAAGATTACAAGATGTGAAGCACCGCGACCGGCCTGCTATGGAACATCTAACATGACTCTCACTCGTGTTGCCCAGGCTAGAGTAGGCCGTGGCATCAAGCTAGCCTCACAGCACCCTCTCAACCCCAGGCTCAAGCAATCCTCGCCTCAGCCCCAAGTAGCTGGAACTGAACAGATGCCAGCCACCAATGCCCGGGCTAATATTTAATATATATATATATATATAGTATATATATATAATTACACAATATAGATATATTTTTTTTATTCCTTTATTTTTTAGTAGAAATGCGGTCTCGCTCTTGCCAGGCTTGGGTCTCTAACTCTGAGCTCAAGATCCTGCGCTGCCTCGGCCTCCAGCAGTGCTTAGGATTACAGGGTGAGCCACCAAACCATGCCCTGGCCATGGAATAGGTTAATTTCTGATGGGAATAAACCTAAGAGTGAAACTATCTAGTCATAATGTATAGTTATGTTTTATGCTGAACTTCCACTCAGATTCCAGAGTGGGCTGTGCTATTTACTCTCCACACTAAGAGCTATGCTAGAGTTCTAATTATCCACATATACCAACATTTTGGTGTGAACAATCTTGCACCCATGTTTACTAAGTTTGAAATGGTATTTCATTAAGGTTTTATTTTTATTTTATTCTTTAGTAGAAGATGGGGTCTCACGTCCTTGCTCAGGCTGGTCTTGAGCTCCTGACTCCAAGTGGATGCTCCGCACTCGGCCTCGCCAGAGTGGCAGGATTATCAGGGCCGTGCAGCCACCTGTACCCCGGCCTCCACCATTGAATTTAAATACATTCCTCTGATGATATGATTTATCTGAGCTTATTTCTTTGTATAACCTTCTCTTAAAATTTGTTCAAGACTTGCCGATTCTAAAAGCTTGAATTATTTATTATTTATTATTTTTTCTTCTTTTTTTTAACTCAGGCCCATTTCATGCAGTAGATTATTTTTTTAAAGTTATAGAAAGTCTTTATATATTCTGCATACAGCCTTGATATATGTTTGGCTAGAGCTAATTTAAAGCTGTTCTGCTTCGAAAGTTAATTTGTCTTTAATGAGCAGTAGGTTTTAATTTTGATAAAGTTTATTTTATTTTGTTTTATTTTTTTTGAGAGCAGGGTCTCACTTGTGTGCCAGGCTAGAGTGAGTCCGTGGCGTCAGGCCTGGCCTCACAGCACCTGGGCTCCACGATCCTACCTGCCTCAGCCTCCCGAGTACTGGGACTACAGGCATGCGCCACCATGCCGGCTAATCTTGTATATATATTCTCAGTTGGTCAATTAATTCTTTCATTTTGGTAAGTAGGAGGGTCCCGCTCAGGCTGGTTTCGAACTCCTGACCTTGAGCAATCCCCCGCCTCGGCCTCCCAAAGTGCTAGGATTACAGGCGTGAGCCACCGCGCCCGGCTGTTTATTTTTAATTAGTGCTTTCTGTGGTCCTCAGAAATCTTTGCTTATCTCAAGGTCAGCAGTATATTCTCTTATATATACACTCTCTAGAAGCTTTGTAATTTTATCTTTTATATTTGGAGCTATGATCCATCTCAATTAAAGTTTCATGTATGGCATGACGTAGCAGCTGCCGTTCTTTTTTTTTTTTCTATGCGAATGTTCACATAGAAAGACTTTGCTTTTCTCATTGAATTGTTTTGTCATCCTTTTTTAGCATCCTTTGGTCACATATGTATGGTTCTGTCACTATTCTCCTTATTCTATTTCATTGATCTATTTGCCTATTCTTTTGCCAAATCCATGCTGTCGTAACTATTGTAGCTTTGTAATGGGTCTTCAGGCAAGGTAGAGTATAATACTTTAACTTGGAACCCTCCTTTAATAAGCTATAAGGCTTCAGACATCTACTTCCTGAAGTGTAGATGCCATCAAACATCTACGGGTGTGTTTTATCAGCCATCTGTTCTCAGGTTGAGTTGCTGTTGCTGTGAATGTCATGCAGTCCTATGCTACAAATTTGTCAAGTATGAACAACACATACATTTGAACCCTTCCCACCCCACAATTATTAATATTTCCAACCTTGATCTTTGGTATTTCCTCTTATGGTATGGTGTTCTGGATTTAGGAAAGAGAGAAAAATGAATGTAAAAGAAGGGAAGAACAGAGATGAGATTACAGTTTACAACTTGTATGTCCTAGGTATAGATGGCAATTTTGGACTCTGGAGTCAGTCTGTCCTTGCTCTGTCAAGGGAGTTAGGGCAAGCCTCACTTTCCTTGTCAGTAAAATGGGGATAAAACATTAAGCACTTAACAAATGTTCTTGTAACTCCCAGAAGCAAAAAATGTGAAAATTTGGGGAGTTAATATATAGCTATAATAATCAAGACAGTGCTTAGAGACAGGCATGTTGGTGTATACCCGTAATCCCAGCGAGCGAGGAGGCCAAGGCAGGAGGATGGCTTGAGGCCAGGAGTTTGAGACCAGCCTGGGCAACATTGCAAGACCCCATCTCTACAAAAAAAGAAAAAAAGACGGCGTTGAACTGGAGAAGAGACAGGCATGCACACATTCATGTTACGCACAGATGATCTAACAGATTCTATAGTAGAAAGTGATCTTTGAAGTATTCTTACATTTTCACCTGTGATTTAATGCGGATCTCTCCAGGCAGGTGTGTTGGAGAGATCATCTCTACTGCGCAAGTGGCTCTGGCACTGGTTTTCCTCAGAGGCCCTTTACACAAAGACTGTCTGGGTAAGAGGGGAAGGGAGGCGGGAATGGAATGAGCAGGGAGCTTGCAAGTCTGTCCAGGCAGACCCACGTCTCCCACCCCTCCCCAGCCTGCTGTGCACCACGGCCCTCACCCCTCTCGCCTGTTGGACCACGCCACCTAGCACCACCCTCAGTTACCTCTCTGATGACTTTCTCTTGCTGTAAACGTTAGCCAGCCCTGCAGACGTGACACCTGGTGATCCCGAGGGACTCAGAGGGGCATTTATCTTACCCTGTGTACTGGTGTTGGGACTTTCCCTTCTGGAGCCAGCAGAGTCTTGTTTGTGTGGTGTCATGATCTTTGTGGGTGGCCGGCCACGTTTCAGACTGTCCTGTCGGAGGGGAACAGCTCCAGAGTACTCCCTCCGCCCTCGGCACAGACAGCCGTCTTTGCTTAAGGGCTGCCCACCCCGGGTCACTTCACGTCCTCCTTGCTGCTCTGCAAAGGCAGTTATGCTGAGCTCTAACCTGCAGCCGAGGTCTGTTTGGGCCCTTCCCAGGGTATGTCTAGGAAAGCTACTCCCACCACGCCTGGGTGCTTGCTTCCTTCTTTTCATACCTCTGTGGCTCCTGCCCTCCGGAGTGTTCTCCTGTGCTCCCCACCTGGGCCTGTCTGGTTGGAGGAGAACAGGCACACAGGGGAGAAGATGCCAGGTCTTTCTTTCAGACCTGATGTTTAAGAAACGTGCACAGAAAGTAAAGATCATTTCTTGGGGGAGACTCACCAATTCCAGGTCAGTGCTGGCTATGGAAGCCTGGAGAAGATTCCTGAGGCAGACGGGGATCAGATGGCTTTGAGAGAGTTCTGTTCTCAGGGTTTTATCTCAGGCTTTTATCTGGCCAGTGAGATCTGAACACTCTTTGCGGCACTAAAGGTCAGAGGGCAGGGCCAGTCCTGATCTGGGACGCTGTCACTCAAGAGGATGGGATAAAGAAGTACTCATCACTCTGGTCAAGCTTGCAAGCCCAAATTTCTAGCATACCTGAAGTCATTTTGCTCCTGAATGGTGAAGCAAGGCAATTTGTACTAGGTTAGCTGCCTGCCAGTCTGTGGGTCTGCCGTTTGTTAACTCTGCAGTGGTCTCTTGGTAAGAGTGGGCTGTCCCCTGGCTCTCCTAACCCTCCCGTCTGTGTGAGTGCTGGGCTCTTGTGACGCCCGGAACAGCCATCTCCCCGGAGAGCAGGCTCGGCATGTGGGGCAAGGCAGAGATCCTTCCAGATGAGGAGTATATCTTAGGGTATGACTTGAATTTACTAGACTCCCCAGGGTTTAGCACTGAGTGAAGCCCGCATGGCATCCAAGGGGTTTGGAACTCTTGGGGAAAGCCTGGTGGAAAAAGGGAATTCTGCCACTCCTGGGGCTGCAGTGGGCTCCTCCACTTCTGCATCCGCCACTTGTGGGTCCCCCCACTCAGGGGTCCACCGTATGGCCTCCTGGGCACCTATGCATCCTCCTTCCCTGTTCCCATAAAGCCTTCCCCCAGCCGCCTCCCCCCGATTCCCTGTTGTTTGATGGCAGAAAGAGCCATGTCGTGTCTCTAGGGGGCTTCGTGCGGTGTGACTTCTCTCACGAAGGGAAGCTAGGACTTCCACCCGGGAGCCCCGTCCTTGCCCAGGCTCAGTGGCCGATACCCCTTCTCCCCACCCCTCCCACCGCTCAGGAGGAGAGTGATTACTCACAAAGACAAACCAAAGCACAGAAATAGTCAACCTATTTGTGGCTTAAATGCGAGCAGTTTTATTTTTACAGTGAGTTGCTGTATTTTCCCTTAGTATAAATCATTATCTACCGCAAATGAAACTCCAGCTCCATCTGGGGTAGTTCCTGCTTTGTTAGTGGTGCCAATTAGTCACAAAACAATCAGCGCCTTCCACCACCCACTCCATCTGGGGGAAGAGAGAGCTGTCCCCTCCAGGCTCCCCCCTCCCCCCCGCAAGCCCCTGCGCCCCCCCCAACCATCCGGCCGCTCCAGCTTCCGAGTGGCTTGATCCTCGTTCACCTTGTGACTGTTATCAATTTCCAAACTGGCACCTACTTGTCCTCCGCCAGTGTGGATAGACTTCTCTGTTGTGCTAGGAGCTGGAAAAAGCAAATTGTTGAGGCCCTCTGCTCTGTTGACTTAAATAATGACGTTTGAGTCCTCCTTCTAGTTGGTCGCCCTGCCCTGGGTTTTGCGGCGCCCGTGGGGACGGGGAAATGCTCACAAGAGCTGGACGGCCCTGGTCTGAGAGCGGCGTGTGGAGCAGAGCAGCAGAGGGGATGCTTCTGTCCTGCCCATCTCCTCCTTCCCCATGTCCTTCAGGGGCTCTCCCATCCCGGCTGGGACTTTGGCATCTTCTCAGGCAGCTCGTTGCTTCTCTCCTACCTGCATTTGCTTCCGGGGGTCCAATCCACTTTCCACGGAGCTCCCCTTCTCCTCTGCCTCGCAGCCTGCTTTAGACGGTCCCTGTTTCCTTTTCAGCCTCGGACTGTCCTCTGGGAAACTAAAGTTCTGCAGGAGGCCGAGCCACTGTCCTCTGGGAAACTAAAGTTCTGCAGGAGGCCGAGCCGCTCCTCCCTCGGAACGCCAAAGCCAGGTAATGGAAGTGCACCCCGGTCCCCAGGCTGAGCTCGCCGCCTGCTGATGTGCTTCTCCCCCTTCTTCTTCCCGCCTGGGGGACAGACACCGGCAAAGCTTTGCACAAGAGTGGTCTGGCTCTGCCCTGTGGATTTGGTCTCACTGCTTAGGAAAACAGCTTCATCATGGGCTCCCAAGTCTGCTTTCCCACAGACTCTGAAATTGCCTTCTCGCCCGTTTTCATCTCCTTGGTCCCAGGAGTCCCCTGCTGCTTGGACTCGGTGACTGAGAAGGAATGCCTTTGAACAGAGGAAACACGCCCATGGGCAGGGGGTGGGTCTTCACCACTCGGCTACCTGAGACCCAAAGGATCCAGAATTCTCCTGCTCAGCCTTTGGGGCTCTACGGTGGGTCCTTTGGAAAACAGGGAACGGCGGTCAGGGGAAAGGTAGTCCGCTCTCGTGTTCCTGACTGCAGGGCGAGAGTCTGCACCCAGGCAGGGAGCAGCCTGCGCCGTGCCCATGGTGCACGCTGACCCCGGCTCCTGGGCTTCCCTTCTCTTTCCATCACATTGCACGAGCCTTATGTGCTAAACTGGGCATAATGCTCTCGAAAAGGGGTTGTAGGAGGGGAAGAAATATTTAATTACTTACCCATGTGTCTCCCACCGTGCAGGTCTGTACACACATCTCATTTAATCGTTACAACTTTTTTTTAAGGTAGTATTATTAGCTAAGAGCCTGGCAGAGGTCACGTGCCTAGGAACAGGCTGAGCTAGGAATTGGAGCGGGTTCTCTCCACCACACATGCGATCTTGCCCTTCCATGTAGCATGTCTCTGGGTCATCCCTCTCCTTAGCTCCAGCTGGCCCCAGTGGTCCAAGGTGGTCAGCCACCTTGCGTTCCCAACAGCTCGTCCCTGCTCTGGAGCAACGTGAAGATCTTCACTCGAGTGTGTCACTGAGTGATGCCATTGCAAGCCCGGTTCTGCTGATAAGCGTGGGACCATCTGCTTGGCACATCTCAAGTATTCTCAGCAGTGGGGGAGCGGCTCCGCTTTCTTCAGAGAACGGGAGGCTGCAGCCATCCTTGGAGATGTTGGGACAGGAGACCCTGCAGGCTGGCAGGGCAAGGACACCCCAGATGCAGAGGGACAGCCTCCCTGTGGTCACCTCTGACCCTTCCTGAGCAAATGGCACTAGTGAGTCTGCACCCAAGTTTTTAATCGTTCAGCTGTCCTTGGCAAGCACAGTAAGACTTTCCCTCTTTTCAAAGCTGTCTCCTGGGCGACTCTTTCGTGCTGCTTGTCTCCTACAGTGTGTTAGATGTCCGCTGTCCGTGCATGTTAGCAAAAACTTCTGCCTTTGTTTTGGAAAATTTGCTTCTTTGCCGAGTTAACTGTTCTCAGACATTGCTTTTCAACTTCAGGGTTGAAACTTCTGCTGTCGCTTTTTCTGTTTAAGCTCATGATGGGGGCAGCTGGTGGGGGAGAATCTTAGGATCAATTCACGGGTCGGATGGTGAACTTGGAGGTTTTCAAGGTTGCCCTAATTGGATCTTATGAATGATGAAGACGGTGAGGCGTGAAAGGGTTGTGGCCACACCGATTCCTCTAGAGAAATCACTTGACTGGGAGCTGCTGGGCACGGCCAGAGGGGAGCTGGGTTGATTTTTCTTTGCCTGTCCTTAGTGGACACCCCCCATCAATATTAGCTTCTGTTGCTCATAGCGTCATGTGCAGCCCACTGGTGACAAGGTGTGTTTTAAAAGGAATGTCCTGCTCAGTCTTGGTGTTTGGCTTATCTTAGCAATGTTTCTTAGCCAGGACACACAGGGGTCATTTGGAGAGAGCATGTGTAGGGTGTTGTCAGATGGCTGTATGTGCAGCGAGAAGGTGACAGCCCGCCGGTCTCTAGAGCAGGGGGTTCAGCCTTGGCACCACTGGCATTTGGGGCTGGGGAATTCTTTGTTTTGGGGACTCCCTGTGCATTGTAGGGTGTTTAGCAGCATCACTGGCCTCTACCCACTAGATACCAATTACACACTCCTCTCAGTTGTGACAACCGAAAATATCCAGACATGCCAAACTTCCCCTAGGGAACAAAGTCCCCTTCCCCACTTTGAGACCAGTGATCCTGCTTATATTCGGAAAGGGGGCAAGAAGTCCCTGCTGCCCTGTGCAGATGGCCCTAGCGTTAGGAAGATGGGCAGGAGACATTTAATCCCAGGACAGATGTTCCTGCCCCGCACATTCCCACCAGAGCCCGCCCCTGCCATGGAAATTCCAGCTCGCAAATGGCTTTCTGTTTGTCCAGGTCGCTGCACACACACACGGGGAAGAATTTGCCCTTTTCTCTGGATCTGCAAGCCTGGAAGGTCCAGCCTAGGGTCAGGCTCTCTTTTTGGTTGCCTGGGAACCAGGAGAGGTTTCAGACGGCCCACCCGTCAGACCTGGGTTTCGCTGGCTTGGCTTGGTTTTGCTTTGCTTTCTTTCTTTCTCTCCTTTTTCCTTCCTTTCCTGCCTTTCCTTCCTTCCCTCCCCTTCCCTCCCCATCCCTCCCTTTCCCTCCCCTTCCCTTTCCTTTCCTTCCTCCCATTCCTTCCATTCCTTTCCTTTCTTTCTTTTCTTTCTTTCTTCTCTTTGCTGTGACAGGCCGGGACCCAGGCCATGGAGGACTATGCTCGACTGAATGGGAAGGGGGGGACGTTTGCCTCTTTCGTCTCTGGAGAACACTTGAGCGAGCGTGAATGTGTGGCGTTCAGAACTCTTGGGCTTCTCTGACCCTCCTTGTTTTTCTCTCCGCTCCGCCGTCCCTCTGTTCCCATCACCTCCACTGAGGGGTCGTCGCAGCTAGAGCCAGACCTGCCAGGACACGAGCTTCTGGGAGCCCACGGCCTGACACATCTGCGGAAACCCCACGCCTGTTTCCCAGCTGCTGGTTCATGGTCTCAGCGTGGCATTTCCACGAGACTCACACTGGCAAAGCGCTATTCAACCCCTAGCTTTCCTCATGCCCCAGGCTTTCAAAAATGCATTGAAATGCAGATTATGTGCCGGAGCTGATGCTTAGAGGGGCTGAGCTGCCCGGGGTGGGACTTGCCTCTGGTGGTCGTTTGACTGAAGGTGCCGCTCCCAGGCCACGTGGCCGCAGGCGCGGGCAGAACTGGCATGGCCTCTGCGTTGTACAGTGTCGAGCTCCTCTTCTCAAAATTCTCTCCTTGTGGGGGCGGCGGCGGTGGTGTTAAGTCCCCCGCCCCCCGCTGCTGTGGTCTGCCTGGCCTGTGGTGTTTGGGTGACAAGCTGGCACCTGGGCAGGTAAGGCTCGTCCACGTAGAGGCAGCCAAGCAGGGTGAGGGCGGCGGCAGTGGTCACATGTCCGGGATGTCAGTGCCGGCAGGGTGGAAGGGCATCTGCGTGGGGGACAGGGGACCTGGAGCTGGGTGTTGGCGCTCCTGCTGGTCTGAGGACTGTGTCTCAGGGCAGGGGCCAGTGGCAGCCGTGGCCCGAGAGTGGAAGAGCCCAGCAAGGTGGGGAGGGCGCCTGTGCAGGGGTGGGGGAGGGCGGTGGCACACATAGGAGATGGTTGACATACAGGTGGGTTCAATAAGTAAATATATTGAGGACAGTGGAGGGCAGGTTCCGCACTACCAGAGAAGTAGTTACAAATATGAGGAGGGAGAAAACGTGAGCTTACGGCATTGGATCAAAATTGGAAATGTTGGTATCAATTCATGAATTTACATACATATATTTCAACATATAGAAAGATACAGAAACATAGCTGTAAGTGTGTGTGTGTGACTGTACATATCGTGTTTCCCTGAAAATAAGACAGGGTCCTATATTTATTTTTCCTCAAGAAGACACCTTTGGGCTTATTTTCAGGGGATGTTTTTTTTTTTTTTTTTTAAGTATAGTACAACAATCTACATTTATTCAAATGTAGTTAAGTCATCTTTTTCTGGAACATTATCATAACTCTCCAAACCCCGAATTTCATCCTGAATTTCTTGCGATTCTATTTCCTTTAGAACCATCGTTCCCAATCTCTCATGTGGAGCAATAGTGCTCTCATGGGGCAGATGAGAAGGGCTGCTCATCTTCTTTCCCGCTCCGTGATGAAATGCATGGGTTGTGCAGATGCGCTGCGCAGCCACGCCCATCACTAGGTCTTATTTTCAGGGTAGGGCTTATATTGCACAAATATTTAGAAATCCTGCTAGAGCTTATTTTATGGGTAAGTCTTATTTTTGGGGAAACATGGGATATGTGTTTCTATGCATGTATTCCTTAGCCCTTCTGCTGAAAGGCCCTGGGAGCAGTGACACTGTAAGAGCAAGGAGCACACTTAGCACCAGATCTTGGCTTCTAAATATCATTGTCTGGCTCACGCCTGTAATCCTAGCTCTCTGGGAGGCGGAGGCGGGCGGATTGCTCGAGGTTAGGAGTTCGAAACCAGACTGAGCAAGAGCGAGACCCCGTCTCTACTATAAATGGAAAGAAATTAATTGGCCAACTAATATATATAGAAAAAATTAGCCGGGCATGGAGGCGCATGCCTGTAGTCCCAGCTACTCGGGAGGCTGAGGCAGGAGGATCGCTTGAGCCCAGGAGTTTGAGGTTGCTGTGAGCTAGACTGACGCCACAACACTCACTCTAGCCTGGGCAACAAAGTGAGACTCTGTCTCAAAAAAAAAAATAAAAAAATAAATGTCATTGTCTGCTAAAAGGAACCAGGGCTCCTTGGAGAAAGGGCTGACTCTAGGGACTGACGCGGGGGACGCATAAGATCGACACCTGGTAAAATGTCCAGTTTTCTCTCTCGGAATAGCAGTGAAGGTTGATTTTTGTTCTGGACCAGCTGAGGCTGGCGTGCCACCGAGAGAAGCCCAGCGGGAGATGTCCAGGGCTGCAGGTTGCACGCGTCTGATTGCTAGAGAGAGGCCTGAGCAGGCCCCGCACATTGGGATTTCATCGGGGTGTGGGCGGAGTTGAAACGGGGGGTTGGACACGAATGCC